AAAAGAAGAGTATAATTCGGTTTTAAGAAGTATTTAATTGTGAGATTTTTTAATAGCGTTAAATGGCCATTCATGAAACGTCATGTATCTGCATTTACGAATGTTGCTTGTAAAGTTAGCATAATTGCTCAAATCCACTGCTTAATTTTATGAACCTCATATGGTCTCCTCTTAACACCGTAGAGAAATGCATGGTTTTCCGTACACGGAAATTATACAGCTTGTAGTTTTGAAACCCTGAATGCAAGTGTAACAGCAGGTCGGGTTCAAAATTATTCGGGAATTAGAAACGTTTTTTAAAACCGAATTATACTCTTCTTTTAAGTATAAGATTAGGAGAAGACGTGATTTTCTACCGAATAAGTAAAAGAACGAATATGTTTATGCATGTTTTCCATAAAATATAATTGAACTTTCAAGGGCATCGCAAATCAATGAGAAAATTGCATACTACCTAGGAAGTCATTTTTTGCAGAGTATAGATCTTGCATGCAGCCGAAAATAAGTTGCTTCGAGGGCCGGCACCCTGAGGTAAATGGAAAATTATAGATTTATCATGCATCATGATTAGGTTTACAACACTACTTAGGAAACTGCTTGAATCTTAGGAATCCTCCGATTTCCCCTAAATTCCGCCCGCTTATTATTAAATATACAGATCCGTATCAAACTTTCCTTCAGAAAACGGCGTTTTCGTCCTTATTTCAACCAAATAAACACAAATAACAACACCAAAATGCGCTACAGTTTCCACTCTAAGAGCTGTTATTTGAAATGTCATTAATATACCAAGGAAAGTATAAGTCATATAATAACGACGGTCTTTGTTATGTTTACGTAGACTGGCATACGGACATGGTAGCGCATCTTTCTAAATATAGAAAAGTAAAAAGGCAAAATGGACACAGAACAAGTCTTTATCCATTATTAGTTTCGTAGTCCAATTTGACCGCCCTTTCCTTTAGACTTCCGTATTATACTATTGTCGCTTGCGTTCTAGTACATCCAAGTAACCTTTTTTGGCTTGTATATGCGAACATAATTGCGTGAATATCGGAACGCAATTTTACATACTGCCCGCAGAGCACAAAATTAACTTGCCTGTGCGGTAATTGTTGAATGATTCAGTTTTACCACAGCGTTCACATTCGTACTGGCAGCGCCAATATTGGCTAAGGACCGAGACAGGCGTGTTTTTTTGGTTTTGTGCCGCCCTATGGCGCAGTTGCAAAAGGATTCAGCTGATGCGTAGTTCACCAGCATTTCTCATGTACTTTCTAGTGTATAGACGCCAGTTTCTTTGAGGCTTTGTTTGATTTCCGGGAAAGCACTGCAAAAACGAAGAGTAAGTCCTTCTGAACAAAGCTTCTTAGACTCCACTCGAAATTTGTTGCGGATATGAGAATCTTTTTTGAGGGATTTACTTCAGGTTAGCGCATTACTTTTATGGGAAATTTAGGGAGACAGCATGCTTGGGGCAAAGTGGCATATATATGAGAAGACAAGACGATCACAGGAATCATGCTTTTATTGGCCTGACGCTTCGAAAGCAGACAAGTTTCCATCACTGAAGGTGGGTTGCTTACGGTACATCAGAGTATTTAAGGAATTCTTCTTCGTGCTGGAGTGTTACTGACTTCCAGCGTGCTTCATCACGAGGTTGACAATTGCTGTCTTGGTGGCATCTGCCTCTCCTCATTCTTTATCGGGTGTGGGAAGGGAGATGGCGTCGGGGTAACCGCTGCCATTGCTCTTGTCTACATTGTCCGTTGTCCGCCCTCCACGTATTTTGCCTTCCTACCCGTTCATGCCTGCCCGAAACCGTGTGCACAGTGGTTGTCACGCCGGTGTTGACGTCGAGCTGGGGGGTCCCTGTCACTGTCATTCATTCTCGCCGAGTGCTCACGTCTGTCTGCGTTCGGACCCAGTAGGTGGTCTCCTGGGTTTGTGTTCACCGCCGGTTGCCCCCAGTTTTCGTCTGTTCCCAATGCCTGTCCATACCCGTCCGTGTTCTCGCTTGGTCTAGGTTTGGCTGCTGCCGTCCCTGGCCCGACGCCTTGCCCGTAGTCCTGCTTATTGAACTTCATCCGCAGGGCTTGGTAGGCAGCGGGCAATTTACGCAGCAGTTAATCGAGGTGGCTGTGGTATGCCATGCTTTGAGCGTCTCCCTGACCGTTTGATCGCTCCCTTGGCCCAAGACTTCGGCGTCTTTGGAGGCAAAAGCACTACCAAGAGCTGCATAATGCTCTATCACCAGCGAGAGCTGATCCGTTCATCGTACCGCTCCTGCGTGCTCGTCCATGTGGGTCCTCAATCTTTTCCCGGTCTCTCTAACGTAGGTCGTTACGCAGGATCTGCACGGGATCCGAAAGACGACCTTGACTGTTTTTCTTCGTGACTGAGGCGTTTTTGGTCTCATGACCTGACGTCTAATTGTGGGCGATGCCGATACCCAGTGGTTGCAAGATACGAGCAACTGCCTCGGAAATGTTCGCAATATATGAAAACGCTCGCCAGACTTTCGGTTAATTTGCCGTTGGTCCGGGCAGTCTGCTTTGTTTTATAAAGCTGCGCGGGTAACCGGTGGAGGTGAACGTCCGCCATTGATAGTGGAGTTTGGCTACATTGGTGGTCATTTCGCTGATGTAATTGTCAACTCTCCAGTAGAGAGATCGCACAAAACTTTGTTTGTTACACAACAGGTGAGTACTGTGGTTGGACAGGACTTGGCGAGTGTTAGTGGCCTTTCCTGTAGACTGTCGTTTCTTAGCTTCTGGCGGTCTTGCGGGGAACCAGAACGCCAAAGAACGCTATATGGTTGTTGTTTTCTGTCAACGTGGTGAATAGAATATTGGGAACTACAGATTTCAGTAGTGCGTTGAATTTGGAGACTAGTTCTTGTTTGAAAACGACGAAAGTATCGTCCACATATCGCGCCTAAATTTTGGCCTGTTTATTGCGAAAACTAACGCCCCCAACATTTGAAAAACAGCATTAGCGATGAAACCGAAAAGCAGTGAGTTCGTCGGTGTAAATTTAGTTTGCTCGTACACAGTCCCTCCAAACGTGAAGAACGTTTGGAGGCAGAATCTGAGCATTTGCACTGGGTGCCCTCGCTTATGGGTACTGTTTGCCTCCGTGTTTTGGCTGTCAAGAAAGTCGCTGAGAGTTCATCTGCCAAACTTTTTGGCATCGAGGTAAAAAGAGGGTTATATCGAACGATACGATGACTTCGTTTTTGTTAGTTTGTAGCTTTTTAAGTCTTTCCAGGAAATGGACGGATGAGCGGACCGCCGTATTGGAGCCCGAGGTGGGGCAGTTCAGGCGTTTAAACACCCACTTAGCCAGGTTAAATGTGGGTATTCCGCATACATTTTATCAACTAGACATACAATATTTTCAGTATTTTATTTAACCTCGGTCTGAAATGTCGACTTCATCGTGAAATGCGCCTATTCTAAAAGTGCATTTAGTTTGTATGGAAGAATATGCGTCCTTTGACGCAAGAATATTCATGTTCCATGTGTAACCTGAAAGGCTGTCAGATCATCTGTTTAAGTACTCAATCAACAACGGGACAGCTTGCTCTTACTCCAACGGGGCGTTTGCATAAACAGGCGCAGCCGGAACATCCTCTCTGATTTATGAGGTATTTAGATGCACACTGATGTGATAATGAAAGCAAAAGAGTTATACAAGGAATTTGTAATTCCTATTTGTGTAAGGTATGCATGGGTTTTCATTTTTTGCTAAGAAAAGTATGCGCACGTTCAGGTAATGTGGATGTAAACTGTAATCTAATTATAAAATCTAAAATCTTAACATTTCACCAAACCGATTCTAGACAACTGAATTATATACGATAATTATCCTAATTGTTGAACTTGGCAATGCAAAAATACAATTTCGAGTTTCTATCACTTTTAGAAAAATTCTAAGAATTTATCTGACATACTCTTCGCTGCAGTGGTCAACAGAACTGTATCAACTGTAGTAAGCGCAGTACATTTTGGTTACTTTTGGTCTAAAATCGAGCCTCCAAACAGGACTCACTGCGACAGCATTTACTTGCCCTTATATAGTGTGAGAATTCATTTCTAAGACGTTAAGTACTGAAAATAAAAATGCTTTGTGCAGGGAAATAGAAATAACTGTTTAAGAGTAAGCCTTTGCTTCGAAGAAAGAAACAAGCTGCCTGGTTACTTCGAACAGGAGTTTAATTCGGTTCAATTCTTCGTTCAATTGATTACTCTACCTTAAAAGTTTAAATCTGCGCTGATAAATACCAAGAGGACTGTCCGCCAGCGGAATTTCCATCAAGGCACCTTATGTAGTTGCCTAATAAACATACGAACACTATATGATACTGCTTTTAATTTGTATTACCTCAAGTAGTAATCACGGTTTTAGTTATAAAAACATTATTAACTGTTAACACAATCTTATTTCTAAAAAGATGTAATGTTTTATAGATAATGTGACAAAGTAATTTTAATCAGACGCACTTGACCATGTTGGTCACTTACGAAATTGCTATCAATTAAATCCTGGATACTGTCGTATCTGAAAGCTTATTCGCTCAGTTTGTTTTTATGCATAATGCAGACATAAATAACGTACACATTAAAGTCTTAGTGTAGGCAAGTTTTTCCCTGCGAACTAATGGGGCTCCTCGTATACTACTGTTATTTCTCAATGTACGAAACTTAAAAGTTTACTTTTAGTTTACATTTCAACAAATGCTTGGAAATTTGACCATAACTATAATAAGATGTTTGCAAATCCGTGCATCTGTTTAGCGAATACATGTGGATATTCTAAACAAGTAAGGTCTCTTCTGCTGCCCATTGGATGGGAGTAAGTCTGCGCGAGGCCGGCCAATGAAAACACGTAGGCAGTGTGTATAAATCTCCAACGGTCTGGATCACAGCAATTTCTCCTTTCTTCCCCAGAATTTAAATATGCTGGTCAAACTATGTATATGTTTCGTTTTTGTCGGAATGGTAATTTGCAAGGAAGAAAAGTCGCGGGAATCAACACCAGAGGAGCAAAAGCGCATGCTATACTGGAAACGAAGTCCTATGACAGACCTAGAGGATTACGCTGTTATGGACGGTATTCCACATTACATTATAAATTGACTCTTGGTAACAAAGGTGACGCTGGAGAACCAATCAACGAATATCAGCTGGAAAGAATAATGGAAGAACTGAAAGCCCTGCGCAATGCCAGAGGATCAGCTCGTTATGTACGACCGAGACGAATGCTTTACTGGAGACGTTAATCGTGCAAGAAGTGTCAACTCGCCGCTTAAAGTGCAAGTACCCTTATATAAAGATAACTGCTATTTGAGAGCTGTAAAATATATTTTAAACAATCGTAGGCTAAGTCATTTAGCAATTTAACTTTTCTACAGTCCAGAGTATGTAAATTTACAGAAACTACTGTGTGACCAATAGTAGAAAAGTATGAAACTTACTTATTTTTTTATAAAACTGGGAAGCTTTGGACTACAATTTCATAAGTGGCGCCATAAAAATAGTTGTATTTTACCAAACGCAAGCAATATTGTAAGCGCACCATAAATGCTTTCATTTCTAGCAGAACCAGTTTCAAAAAGTGAGGGCATGTATTTCTAACGCATGTGTGTCATAGTCGATATTTCGCAAAAGATGCCTTTTTGTTATAACTGCGTTTTTATTTTAATCAACTTGTTAGAAATATGTCAATATTCGTCCATTTATGCAAGTTGAATCTTACGTTTTATCTCATTTAGACTTCTGTATCGCCAGACCCATTGTGTTCTTCCCTGAAAGCGAAGATGCTCCCATTTTATAATTTGACTGAAGTCTCTGGAAATAAACCAATTTATTATCAAACATTTCTTTTCTAACAATTTTTGAAAATTTTCTGAGAGTAACTGGCCCGCAAAACAGATACAATGATAAAGGAATAAAGGCTGATGTAGTCGAATGTGCATTTATGATAATGCTTCAAAAACAATTCGCGACGTATGCGGGCGACAAATCAACACAAAATTCAAATATCTGAACTATGCCGCGGATAAAATATCAGATCCAAAAACTATTACATTTATTGCTTTCTGATGAATAAATATCGAGGGGTCTGGATGTGTTTCTAAAACCACCGACGCATCATAAAACAGATTTTTCAATTTTGGGTGGAATCATAACGAAATGACCTGGTTTTGTATGAGCAGTGGATGGCATTACGTAATATTCTAGGAAATTCCGGAAAACAAACAATGCCAAACGTTTTATCTGCAGAGTTTTATTGTTAATGCAAGCGTCTCACACGTTTCGATCGGTATTTACCAAAGTTTGCAAACACTATTTGTAGCAGTTAGCTGCCAAACAAAAAGCTTTTATGAGGCATATTTGAAAAAATTAAAGGATAAACGTTCTTTTAAATCAACAGTCTGCCATTCAGGACTAAAAATGAATTTTATCGTAACTTGGGAATAAACTAATCGCTTTTTTTGCAAGAATGATTCTGGAAATCTAGCGAAAATACTTTTCTGTTTGGACAGTACATTGTACTATTAATTTATCAAAGTCTCTATCGAAATATCTGCAAAGCAGTAACTAATTCTTCACTTAAACTCAGGAAAATATTTCATTTACAACAGAAAACTGCGGAAAATTCTAAGTCGATGGTAAACCCGTCAAACAAAGATGAATAGTCTACTTATAGAAATTAGTTAATTATATTAAAAAATCATCTAGTGCGGCAGGTATTACTTTTGTTCTGGTGGACGTCAGCTTGTGGGAAGACACTTATAAATTGACCTGATAACAATGTTAAGTTTCTCTCTGCACTACCTATTTGGTTTTCGCGGTACGTTATGGTTGGAATCTGTTTTGTTGAAATATGTTCTTGTGTTTATCAATTGCTCTGTTGCAAATTGCTAAATATACATCCAACAGTTTGTGCGTGGTGCAAGGTTCCGGAAAATGTGACAATGTACGAGTAGAACGACAAGTGTGTTCAAGGTTGTCCAAAATTTTTGAACGGGAATGAGTGCGAGACGCAGTTTGACATCATAGGTTAAATACAAATTCTCTTGAGAGATTTTCAAGCATACCCGCAAATATTAAATTTTCAAAATAAAACATGTGTTTGACGGAAAGCTGCTGCAAATGAACCCGAAACGCTCACAATTGAGTATAATCCCTTGTTATAAATTATTAACAAATCATACTAAGGGCTGGCGTGAACAAGGTTTGTACGTATTAAAACGCTAGAGTTGCTCCTAACATTTGATTTTCGAACCATGCAGTTGAAATGAATTTTAACAAACAGCATTATTTTTCGCGCCGATGAGAGAAGGATAGTGTAGGCACTTATTTATTCGTTATGAAATCTTATATGCTCAATGTGGCAAGCTGCTGCGTAGGTAAAAAAATTTGTACTGTTTTATCGATCATATCTCAGGCAGTGAGTAAGACTACGTTGACATTTTGCGACCGTTACTTCAAAACATTTCGGCGATAATTGGAAAGGCATTCATTTAATTTGTTCCATCATTTGACACTTCTTTGTTTTAGCTTGAATATATAACTTTCAAGGAAACACAAACCGCACTGTTTGTTTAATTTAAATAAGGTAATAGGGGAGATTATTTATTGCTTAATGGTGTGCTGTGAAAAGTCGTTAGCATCCAAATTGACAAAAACCACTTTATGCCTACGCTCTTATTGAACTATTAAGCCATATCATCAAAGACAACTAGCGCGAGGCATAATTATTATTCTCACGCAGATCGAAAATGAAACAAATTCGTGTTATACTCCATACAAAAAACCAACTGTTTTGGACAGCTCCCTGTAGGTCGAGTTATTTGTTTTTAAAAAGGCTAAAATATTCAAGCGTTATACACCAAGTTACGCGTCACGCAAAATTTGCAATAATTCATTCATAATTTAACAGTTTCATGCTAACGACATTTCTGCGGTATTCTAAAGTCTTCGATGAAATATGGGTTGACGCAAGGAATAAGGATTCTGAAATAAAATATGCAACTACATTTTAGATCACGATGTATTGCTTTTGCTTCGAAAATAGCTCTTTCTAGCGATGTTTACTGCCTCCGACATATTTAAAAGTCAAGCTTTTTATTGTGTCCTGTTTAAAGTTGGAACGAAAAACCGCTAATAGTGATTATTGTCCAACAATCTAAAAAGAAGCATATTGCGCAAGGTTCACTGACGGAAAAATATGATTACAGCTGGCGAGGGTAAATGTGTTTATTAATGGAAGGCAGTATCGATGTAAAGAAATGAGAAAGAGAACTTTCATTAATCTGAAGCAAAAGACTGATGCTAAAACTTTGAAACAACAGTTTGGAAAAACTAATTTTGAAATTTCAAATTTTCCAACGAAGAAAGGGGTAAGCCTGAGGTATCTCTGCTTGAATTAACGCCAGTAGCGTAAGAATACTGACTGCCCTACCACAATCTCAAGGCGGATGTTAATTGCAGACCTTGTAGCGTTGTAAACCGCTACTGCGCACGTTACACCGCCGCAGTATGTACGCCAACAGGCCACATTCCACTTTTTAGTTAAGCTGTTAGATCATCTGAAAGGTTTTACAATAGCTTTTGGAGAAATCGGTGAAACCCACGCCTGAACCTTTAGACACTACCGATTTTGTCACTTTACTGTATCCATTGCCCTGTTTAATTACAATAATGTTAATGCTACTGATTTCTGTTAATGACATTGTGCTACCTTCTAGCACTCGATGATTGCATCAGTTCAGGTTTTCACACCAATTCATGGCTGTCCCTTAGATAGTGTTTCCGTTTTTCAATTTCAAATTCAAATAGGGAACGTTGTGGACCCAGCAACCACCTAAATCCCTTAAATTGTGTACTCGTCCAGGACTATGGTATCTAAGGAAATATTTACACCAGCTCTTACGATTTCATTCAGCTCTTGATTATGTAGAAGTCCATTGTTGGTTTCCCCTGATATTGGAGGAATTAACCCGTTTCCGCTAGAGCCTTCAGTAGGGTTATTTTATATTTGGGCAAAAAACCTTTTTCTGTCTTTTTATCGAATTTACGCCATCAAAATCATTACTCTACTCTACTCATTTACATATCTACTAACTGTGTAACTAGCAATTTAGAGTACGTTGTTGGCCTAAATGCATTCATACCATAAGTCGATTTGCAAGCAAGTGAGGCAAGAGTTTTTGGTTGAAATTCGTCAAATAATACATGTATTCGCAGCATTTTAATGATTAAAACTAAAATGCATTTATGCCAGACTATCTAGTTTTTTGATAAAGGTACATCTGCACTTCCAAGCAACATAACGTTAAGTAGTATCAAGTGCAAGATCATGCATTATGCATTATTTCGGGTATACAAAAAATTAAATTATGAAATGTAAATTGGCCACTTAGAACTTACATCTCAATTGCTAAACTGGCACCATGGATATAACTATCAAGCATAAGAGTACAGAAAAGTGAACTATAGTCGCATTTTCACGAAAAGGTTGTGGAGGCTGAGGGAAGCACCTGCTGGATACACGAAGGACGTCTTCACTTTGGAATATTTTTTACAAAGGATCCGTCATTTGGCTTGGGAAATTTTCCAGTTTTTCCTCCGATGGTTTTCGTTAAATGCGCTTTTGTTTTAATTCATTTTCACACAAATCTGGTCTAAAGAACTGATTATTTTTAGAACGATGAATTATTTTACACCGGCAATATATTTTCTGAAGATATAGCTAGAAATCAGTTAAAAACAAACAGCCGTTTTGCATCGCCTAGTTTAAAAACTAGACTAAGATCTGATATCGGAATGGATACTAATGGATAAGAGTTTAGGACTGATATTCGCAACAAACGTTTTTAGTTTTAAACTTCTTTTTATTTCTGAAATCGCATTTGTTGAAGCAGAAGCAAGCCAAAAGAATTTTGATAAACCCTTCACTGTTATATGCATATTTCATGCATAAGTATTCCAGTCCATTCATCTGTTCATTTAGTGCATATCAGGGTTTGACAAAAAATAAAACCATCAATGAAACGCATTAGGGTCAAACAAGGATTAAAGGATCACCACGTATTTTTGTTACCTTGAATTGGATTTCATGGAGGTCCCTTTTTCCGCGTCCAAACTAAGACCCTTACTTTAAACTTCGGCGTCCTGTAATTTGGGGAAAGCGCCTCGAGTACTTATCAAAAATTCCTTATAAATGGCATACCAATCGATGTATACGGGCAACTACATCCATATGGGAATGCAC